TTCTACTCAGGTCATGATCCCAGGGTCCTGGCATCGAGCCCCGCATCGAGCCCTGCATGTCGCATCGAGCCCTGCATGTCGGGCTCCCTGCTCTGCGGGAAGCCCGCTTCTCCCTCTCCCTCTCCCTCTCCCACTCCCCCTGCTTGTGTTCCCTCTCTCGCTGTCTCTCTCTCTCTGTCAAATAAATAAAATCTTTAAAAAAAAAAAAAGAAGAAGAAGAAAGAGTGTCTTGTTTATTATCTCCAGGAACGGCTAGCCTTGGGAGGGGCAGTCCCTTGGGGGTCAGCAAGCCCCCCACTCCCTCCATGTCATAGCATCAAAGTACAGAAAATTAAAAGATATGGTTAATACAGAGTTACAGCCAAGGAGGGATGGAGTTTACACTTTAACAAGATCCTCTGGCTTCCGTGAGGAAATAGTATTTTAGTGAGACGAGAGCAAAGCAGACGCCAGAGGTCAACGCAATGCTCCAGACCCAAAATGATGGCGGCCTGGACTTGGGTGGGGGCAGGGGGTGGGAGTCAGGCTAGTGTCAGGGTGTGTTTGGAGGTGGGGCCAACAGGACCTGAGGGACCTGATGAGGATGCTGTTGGGATTACAAGAGGCAACTTGCCAGGGGGCCGTCCTGTCCTTATTTCTGGGATTCATGCCTGTGTTTCCTCCTCCAGTCATGGACTGTACTGTCTCATTCTTCTGATGTTAATGGCACAGTAAAGACGTTCTAGAAAATGATACTTCCAGAGTAGAGATTGAAATAAAGTGTCCGGCATGCCCGGGTGGCTCAGTCAGTTAAGCATCTGCCTTCGGCTCAGGTCATGATCCCAGAGTCCTGGGATCGAGCCCCACATCGGGCTCCCTGCTCAGGGCCACTATCCCCCTGCTCTCTCTCTCTCTTTCACTCTTTCTCTCTCTCTCAAATAAATAAATAAATAAAATCTCAAAAAAAGAAATAAAATGTCCGACACGGTGCTTGGCACATAGTAGGTACTCAACAGACCGTTTTTTCTTCCATAAGGGAAAGTATAAAGTCCTGCAGGTCTGATGTCGGAGAGATCATGGTTTGGTCCTGGCTCTACCACCACTAGCTGGGTGACCCTAGACAAGTGATTTCATCTCTCTGCATCCCCCTTCCCTAATCTGGAAGCAGAGATGCAAGCACCTAGCTCTTCCGGTGGTGGCAGGGATTAAACGAGGCGAGGTCTGTAAGGGGCCCAGCCCTTGCATGGGCTCCCACCAATTGCAGCCATAATTATAATGTCTTAAGGAATGTCGGTTGAGCCAGGCTTTGGAGATGGAGCCAAGACTCCCAGAGAAATAGGACTGAGCCCCCTTTATCTCCTCCTTGAAGCCTACCTCCTGCCCCAGCTCCCACTGCTCTGCTGGGCATCTCCTCAAAGAGCCAACAGAAAGCTGTGTTTACTCTGCCAAGTGGCATCCCTAGGGAGCCCCGCATCCAGCCCTGGCTTTGAAAAGCAGACTGTTAATTACCTGGGGTTCCAAGCAGCCTGACCGCTATGTAAACACTTGCCTAGCCGGCCTGTCGATTAACTCCTTGGCACCCAGGGCTGAGGTCGAGGAGTCTGGGTGTGGGCCGATCTGGAAGGGTCGAGGAACTTGAAGAGGTTGGGCACGGCTTTGGGGCCTTCAGAGAGGGACTGATTCAGGTGAAACATATAGGAGGAGGGAACAGAATGACTCTGACTGTGGTTTGAAATTTCCTTTATTTGGCCTGTCCGGTCCTGCTATCCTCCAGCTTCCACCCTAAGACCCCTGTCCTGGGAATACAGGCCCCAAAGGAGGGGCAGGGCTGAAAGCTCAGCCTGCAGTTTCAGGCAGGGATGGTGTCCTGTTTGTGAGAGGCCGGCCCAGCGAAGCTTGCTCACCTCAACCCCTTCTGGCTTTCTCCAGCTAAGAGACACCCACCCTATAAGAAGCAGAGACCCACCTCCCAGGGGTGGGGGACCCAGGCCCTGGGCTGTGTGTCTAGGTGTGGCTGGTTAGAAGGTAGCCTTGGCTGACAGTAATTACTCACATGTGCACATGCCAGTCCAGTTGGCCAAACCCTTTCCCCTGCATTGTCTCCTTCATCCAGCTCCATAATAAACCTCTGAAGCAGGAATTAGGCCCCTGAGATGCAGTGGCTCAAATCTAGGCTCTGTTACTCACTGGCTGTGTAGCCCTGAGGCAGTCACGTCACCTCTCAGGAGCTTGCTAAGCTCACCTGTTCAATGGGGACAACAGATGCCCGTGGTGGCAATTTTACTCTGAGGCTTAAATGAAATCATGGATCCAAAGAGCTCCATCATGCCTGGCACCGGGGAGCAAATGTACCGGCCCCTCCTTTAAATTCCCTTGAATTCCTCTCTTGAATTTTACAGAAGAGGAAAATGAGGTTCACTGACCTATCAAATTATAGTCATCCAAGTGTTTAGAAAAAATGATCGTACCCTAGCAAGCACGTGTCAAAGTTGTATTTCACTCATTCATAAGGAAACTGTCGGATGACAGAGCTGGTTCAGGGGACTCATTGAGGATGGTCCATGAAGCACAGAGAATGCTGGAACAAGACTGCTAGTCAGATTCCAACCTGGCAAATACCCTACAGGGCATGACTTACAACCTTTGGGATGATCTCTACTGGTCAGAAATCATTTGTATTGCTGCTATTAGATAAAAATCATTTGTATCTTACCTGTTTTCTACAACTTAGTGTCTTTTTTAAAAGATTTTATTTATTTGACAGAGACAGAGAGCACAAGCAGGGGGAGCAGCAGGCAGGGGCAAAGGGAGAAGCAGGCTCCCCGCCGAGCAGGGAACCTGGTGCAGGGCTGGATCCCAGGACCCTGGGACCATGACCTGAGCTGAAGGCAGATGCTGAGCCAACTGAGCCACCCAGGCACCCCTACAACTTAGTCTTATTTCTCATACTTATAAAATGTCTGGGCCCCCAGTACGTAGGGGGTCACATGACCCTTGGGGGCTTCTTGGATGATGCCCCAGGAGAATGATGAAAGTATACACAGTCTCCTCATTGCTTCACTTCCAAGTTTTGCACATTTTTCCTGACAAAGTCAAGTGTTCATAGGATGGGAAAGGGAAGGATTGGGCTTCCAAACTGTCAGAATCACTTCTCAGTAAGAATTCCAGATCTTTTTCCTCTAAAAAGCTAGTCTTGCTACTACGTTAGGATGATGGAGAGAAAGTGAAGGTCCAGGAAAAGGGTGTGACTGGTCCAAGGTCACACAGCTCTACCTGGGGGAATGGCAGAGGCCAGACCTGCGTTCCCTGACTCTCATCCCCTGGGCCCCTGGGCTGCTTCCTGGGCCTGCCCCAGCTCTGGGTTCCAGGTGTGAGTTCTCCGCTATAGGCAGGAATCGCTCTGCATCCTGGTGGGGCCTCAGGGGGAGACTCAACTTTAGCTGGAGCTGGATTGCTATCATAGAATCCTGGGGGGATTCGCCGTGCTTTGGGGTTATCAGTGCTCAGGCAAGTGAGAGCTGAGACCCCAGAGCCTCCCATGGCCTCCAGCCCCCCACACGTGTGAATTCTGCAGTAAGACACCCAGAAAGCTCAGAGCTGGAGGAAACAACAGCGGCGGATGAGAAGCAGCAGATGGGTTGCCATGGTGATCATCTCCTGGAGCTCCAAGTATCTTTCTTTCCGAACAGAGATGGAGATACAGTAGGAAGAACATGGGCACAGGGGAGAAAGTCCAAGTCCTAGCCCTGATCTACCCCATCTGGACAGCTTGGTGCAGGCCGGCTCACCTGGAGGATGCATTTGTTAGGTGCCGGCTTCGTGCCAGGCATGGTGTACTGAAGGTTGTCCATTCATGATCTCATTGAACCCTCTTCCCAGGAAGCCTTGGAAGAATGTGCTATTCTTGGCATTTTATAGAGAGGGAAACAGCAGCGCAGACAGGTGAAGTAACTTGCACAGGAACACACAGCTTGTTAAGAGCACCTGAGCTAACGCTCCAGGCCCCTTTCTCTTGGAAGACTAGATGCATTCTTTCTGGAAATTTCAGGCCCATTCCAGAGAAGGAAAGACAGGAGGGAGGCAGAACCAGGGTGCAAAGAGGGAATACTCCAGATCAAACACGGTGGTGTTAACCCCCATGTTCCGCCTGGGCACTTGGCCAACACGATACCTGGCACCTCAGGCAGGGAGCACCCCCTTGCTTGGGCAGCCCCCCCGCAGGGTGACACACCGTAGCCCCGAAGCAAACACTGCAGTGCTCCAGCTCCGGGATGCCATCCGGACCACCTCCTGGTCTCCAATCCACTCAAGGTCGGCTTCGACCCTGCCCTGCGGGAAACAAGAGTGCTGCCTTCTCCCAGAAGCCTCCCTTCACTGAACCAGAGCCTGAGCCTTCTCCTCCTCCTCCTCCCTGCTGTCCTTTCCTTCCTGCCCTGTCTCACTCCCCTGTCCCCAAACTGTGGGCTATCGGGCCATTGATCAGAGCCCAGGCATAGGACAGGAACTCCGGGTGGCTTTGATGAGCCCTAAGAGCTCAACAGAGGCCCCCAGAGCTTTTGGCAGAGCCCGGCGATGTATTTTTAGAATGAGCCCAGCTCAGTCCTGCCTGCCAGGATGCCCTACCTTCTCTTCCTCCATCCAAGCCGCTGGGCAACCATGTGAATCGCAGGCCAGACAAGCCCAGGGCCCAGCTAGTCTGAGGGCCTCCCCTGCAGGGGCGAAGGTAGGAGTTGGCTTGTGCGTGTACACAAGTGTGGACACAGGCAGGAGCCAGCCAGGGTACCCAGAGCTGGGGGAGCAGGAGTCCCCTACCAAGCCCCTGGCCCACTGGCCTTGGCCTCCTAGCCCTCCCAGCTTTGTCCACCGGTCCATTCATTCACTCATTCAACAAGTTTGTTGGCCATTTATTACCCTAGTGCCGGGATGAGAAGGGTGAATGAGACAAAATTCCTAGCCTCAGAGCTGGACCCCTGGCCTTCTCCCCTACCTCGGCTCCCCACCCTATCTTGGCGTGGTTCCCCTGGGCCCACATGGCTCCCCACTTCTGTCTCTGCCCTGTGGCAACTTCTTCCTTGGAGTCCGAGCGGTGCCTCAAAAACAAGTCAGATCATGTCTCTCACAGTGCACGTCCACGCCACCCACCCCCAGAACCTGTGCCTCTCCCCGCCCTGCTGGAGTGACCCGACCTTGCACCGCGCCCCCACTCCTGCACCTCCAACGTCACCTTCTCAGGGCGCCCCTCCCCACTCATCCCATCTAACACTGCAGCTCCCCCCTTCTCCACAGCCTTTCTTGCCAAATAACGTGAGATTTTTTATTTGTTTTGCTCATTGCCGCTCTCTCCTCCCTGGAACGTGAACTCCATAAGGGCAAGGTTTTGTCTGCTTTGCTCCCCGCCCTGAGAGCCCACCTGGCCCACACGGTACAAGCCAAGAAGGAGAGTTGTGGAATGAGGGAATGAAGGACTTGTGGGGGCGACAGTCATAAGAAAAAGCAGTCCCTGCCTCTACTCCTGCCATTTCCCGTCTGCTCCCACCTAGGCAGCCACACTGGTTCTTCTAAGAAACGTACTGTGTCCTTCAAGCGTTAGGGCAGGTGTCTCTCGGTGCACTCCCATGCTCCCCGCCCCCCTCGTCCTGTGATTGCCTGGATCCTGATGTTCCTCAGAGACGGTGCCTTCTGCAAGAATGGGGGTATACCTGTCTCAGTCAGGAGACAGGATGGTGTGATGGCTGAAGGAATGGACTGCCTAGGTCCAAATCCTGGCTAATCCGGTGGGAATTCAGGCAACTTACTTAAGCTGCCTGGGCCTCTCTTTTCCCGTCTATAACATGGGGATAATAGGGCGCCTGGGTGGCTCAGTCGTTAAGCGTCTGCCTTCGGCTCAGGTCATGATCCCAGGGTCCTGGGATCGAGTCCCACATCGGGCTCCCTGCTCGGCAAGAAGCCTGCTTCTCCCTCTCCCATTCCCCCTGCTTGTGTTCCTGCTCTCGCTATTTCTCTCTCTGTCAAATAAATAAATAAAATCTTTAAAAAAAAAAAAAAAAAAGATGGGGATAATAACAGTACCTTCCTCAGAGGCCCCTAGGAGAGGATTCAACGAGCTAATACACGTGCACTTGGAGTTGCGTGTGGAACATAGTAAGTGTAATAGGAACGTTAGCTCTTACTGTTCTTCAGTGTCATATCTCCAGGGCCTGGCACAAAACCTGGCCCACATTTAGGACTTAATAAGTACTTGTTGGGGGCGCCTGGGTGGCTCAGTTGGTTGAGCGACTGCCTTCGGCTCAGGTCATGATCCTGGAGTCCCTGGATGGAGTCCCGCATCAGGCTCCCTGCTCAGCAGGGAGTCTGCTTCTCCCTCTGACCCTCCCCACTCTCATGTGCTCTCTCTCATTCTCTCTCTCTCAAATAAATAAATAAAATCTTTAAAAAAAAAAAGTATTTGTTGGATGAATGAATGAATGAATGAGTACAGGGATAGAAGGATGAAGAAGTGGCATAAGAACCTAGAGGAGGGCCCCAACCAGCCCAAGGAGAGTCAGGGAGGCTTCCTGTAGGAGGGGAGCTGATTCCTGTCGGATGAGGTGGAGTTAGCTGAGCAGGGTGAATGGCAGGAGCAGGAAACAGCAAGTGTAAAGGCCTCTCTCCCCTTGGGAAAGCCTGATGTGTGCAGGGAAAGTCAGTCCATCACTTAGTGATGGACGCTGTAGGCAAAGAGGCCAGGTTTCCCCTGTGCTGGCCATTTTGAGGACATTGGGTGAATGAACTGTAGTCTTCCCTAGGACATGCTGCCCATGGGACGGCAAAACTTTCCCACTGAGGGCAAAACATTCCCACGTAGGGCAAAACATTCTCCCTGGTCAGATCAGTGGCCCTCTGAGATCAGGGGCAGGCAAGCAAGGAAAGGAGGTGCCCACTTGTTGAGGGACCCCCTGGGATAGGCCTGGATTTAATCTGAAAACCACCTCACGGTGAAGATCTTTACCTCCATCTTGAGATGAGGGGACAGAGGCCCCACATCATCCAGCTGTTCAGAGGTGGAGGCAGAGTTCGCTCTAGGTCGGCCCATTCCACATGGCCTCCCTCATCAGACTGGGGCTCCTGGCAGCCAGGGGCTGTGTCTCCCTCTTCACCTCAGCAATTCTTTAGTGGGTGACATCACCCATTCCTGACCCCCCTCTCAGAGCACAGACTAAGGAACTGAGCAGGGGAACCCCTCAATGGCCGTGGACTAATGGATAGCCAAGTTCAACGTCGGGCAGAACTTACCATATGGACTGGAGGATGAGCATCAAGACCTTCCCTCCAGAGCTCCAGGCAAGGGCAGACCTACCTGGACACCTGAGTGAGAGGTGCCAGAAGTGGGCCTGAAAAGGCCACAGCTGGATGAGGTGGGGCTAATCCTGGGAATAGTTGAGAGCATCTTACCCAGTACCACCCACTCCATCCCGCCCCCACCTGCCCCTCCCCTCACTTCACACCTCACTTTTCTCATCTGTTGACTGATAGACTCCCCACACTCGGACCCCCCTGCTGGGGTGACCAGTGGGAAGCTCTAAGGAGGAAGGTCAGGAGTTCAGGGTTCAAGTCCCTGCCCTGCCACATGTTAGGAAGATACCACCCTCTCTGAGCTTCACTTCTCTCACCTGTGAAAAATGGCAGTGCTAAACCTCTGCCTTGGAGCGTTGATGTGTGGGTTCAGAAGCTGTGATAGCGCGAGGCATCTGTGAGGTGTGGGTCCTGCTGGTGAGGATTATTGACCATCGAGGAAACTGGTTTGGAATGGGTTAAGAGGAGACCCTGCCTCCCAGGCAGGAACGAATCAGGGCTGGCAAGGGAGGAGCCAGGCTGGGAAAGAGATCCAGTCAGGCCAGATACTGCCCTGAGAGGGAACGGGGGAGAAGACCGAGACGCCCGGCAGGGCTGGGGGGCCATGGGACAGGAGCGTGGGGCAGGGTCCCCGGCGTCGGCACCCGGATAGCTGCAAGTCAGAGGGTGCAGGACCAGCTGAGGGGGGGGGTGGCGAGCTGCCTGAGTTGGGGACAGCGGCGGGGTGGGAGAGGACTAGGACCCAGAGCACTCCCAGCCCCCCAGGCAGGGGGCACCGGCTGCACCCAGGCCTTGACCCCAACCGACCCCGAGAGCCCACATGGGCCGCTGAGTCTAATTTTAGCTCCAGCCGCAGGGCCCACAGCCTGGGAGTGCCCGCCAGTGGGCACAGGGGCAGCCAGGGCTACTCAGGGGCTGCTCAGGCAAGGGGAGGATTGGGGAGGCCAGCCCCCCTTCTGTCCAGCCACACACCCTGGCCAAGCCACCTCCTGTGAGAGCCCTGACGGGTCTCCCATGGCCTGGCAGACTGCCTGCCTCCCTGCTGAGGCCAAGGTCAGGGGGTGCAGCCAGGAGGGCAGAAGGACGTGGCCTTGCAGTGTGGTCAGGGGATTGCATCAGCCTGAGCAGTGCCCAGGGGCAGGGGGCCCTGCTGGCAAGGTGGGGGTGGGGGTGTCAAAGCCTGGCTTGATTGTCCAAAGGCCAAGGAAGTAGATTCCTGACTGCAAGAAGGCAAGGCCACGAAGCCGGGTCCTACCTGGCCTCCTGGTGCCTGGCTGGTGACTTGCGGTGTGACCTCACACAGGCAGCGTGTTCTCAATGGGCCTCAGTCTTCCCATCTGTACGATGAAGGCGCTGAACTAGAAGGCAGATCCCAGCTCCAGCGACTTGCCCTCAAGCCCCTGCTCCTCCTGCTTCCCCCAGCCCTGGCTGCGGGTGGCCACATGCAGTCGTGGAGAAGAAAGTCCCTCTGGCTGGCACTGTCGGCCTCTTGGCTCCTCGTCCTTCTGAGAATCTTCCCCCTTCTCCGCCTGGCAGTGCCTGCCAGACCTTGGGTAGGGGCTCCCCAAGGCTGGCCCCGCTGGCTGGATGCAGAGCTCCTGCAGAGTTTCTCCCAGCCTGGGGAGCTCCCAGAAGATGACCCTCAACCTCCTCAAGCCCCCCGTGGTGGCAGCTGCGACTGGGGAGCTTGCTTTGATGTCTCCAAGTGCAGGGGTGGTGGTCTCAAGGTGTTCGTGTACCCGGTGGCTGGCCCGATCTCTGACACTCACCGTGGGATCCTGGCTTCCATTGAGAGCTCTCGATCCCGCTCCGTCAGCCCTGATGAGGCCTGCCTCCTCCTCCTCCTCAGCCTGGAAGCCCCCACTGGAGAGTGCAGCCCAGTGCCCCAGCAATGGAATGGGGGCAGGAACCATCTGGTCCTCAGTCTCCACTCAGCCTTCTGCCCCCAGACCTTTCATCTGGGACAGGCGATGGTGGCCAAGGCCAGCCCCACGGTGGACACCTTCCGGCCTGGCTTTGACGTGGCCCTCCCGCTTCTCCCTGAAGCCCACCCATTGCGAGGTGGGGCCCCTGGCCGGCTGGGACAGCACAGCCCCCACCCTGGGGTGCCCCTGCTAGCCCTGGCGGAGGAGAGGGGCGGGTGGCGCACAGCAGTCCCTGACTCCTCTGCCTGCCCCTGGGATGGGCGCTGTGAGCAGGACCGTGGACCTGAGCAGTAAGTGGACCTTTACCCCCGGGGCGGTGGGGGGCTGAGTGGGAGGGATCTGCAATGGGAGTGAGCCCAGAGGCCAGGGTGGAGGGCAGGATTGAGATGGGACGAGAGGACCAGAGGCCTGGCAAACTATGGCCTCAGCCGCAGCAAGAGGGAATCAGATTAGACAGAGAGAGACCCCACCAAGATGGTTCTTTGTCACACGGGGTGTCCAAAGTAGGTTTTGGAGTTCTCCCTCGGGGATCTGTAAAAACAAAAATATGACTCACTCCTGCTTACTCTTTTTCTCTTATTCCAATTCCTCCTTTCCTAATATTTTAACGTACACATCTATTGTGCTCACTCTGTGCTAAATTATAAATAATGGTTATAATAAAATAATATTAATTGCTATCATTTGTTTGTGTACCAGACCCTAAGCTCAGAGAGGTTAAGTAACTGGTCTGAGGCCATCCAGACAGAAAGGGCACAGCCAGTGTTGAAATCCAGAGCTGCCTGTTTCCAAAGCCTTCAGCATTAGAATTCTGAGTTTTGACCAAGAGTGTATGATCAACCCATCAGATACCTCAGGGCCATGGAGATTAAGAACTGGTCACAGATGGAAGCTGCTCAGGTGTCTAATTTGACGGATTAATCTCTTAAGGAAACAGCAAATATGAATGAGGTCAGACCTACAGAAGAACTTCCCACCCCCACAACTGCCTGGAGACATATGGGGGGGTGTGGTGGCCTATGGGACATGGAGAGTTGTTCAGAAACCCCTCTCTGTGGGCTAGTTGGAGTGACAGGCCTCAGGTGATAAAGCAGTTAACCCTGAAGTACCCTAACCCCGCTGCACCCCAGGAGGCCGGTGTGTCTGAAGGCTGGTTGGGCAGGCAGGAACTCAAATCCTTTTGAAGGTTGTCCAGGGCCCAGGCAGCAGAGGGTTCCTTCTCCATCTCTGAGGCAGACCTGAGTTGGAACCTGTCACTCTTGGAGTCCTTCCCTTGCTCCCTCCCTCCGGTATCTCCCTGTTCTCTGCTAGAACAACATGGGCTATTCTCAGCAACACCTGCCCCCTAGGAATGCTTCACGTGGCCAAGCTCCCTTTTTGCCTCTGCTTCTCAGGGGCTTCTCTCAGCCAGAGGGCTCTCCTGGGAATGCACTCCCTCAAGGCACAGGGCCTCCAGGGAGCCCCACAGCCAGAGGTAGGAACGCAATTGCCTCATCAGCCCCCAGGCCCTTCTGCCCGGACCCACCCCTAGCAGGCGTCCTCAGCAGTGATGGGGATCCCCCCACCCCAGGCCCCTGAAGCTCAGAGCTCAGACAGAGCTTACCTTCAGTGAACAAGTTTCTCTTGTTCACCATGGCCCCGCCTGACCTTTCTGATTAGGCTCTTAGCCGTTCTTGCTTATAGGAAGTTCTTCTTTCGGCTGACTTGAGTTACTGCACTGGTGAATCTGAAAGCTATTTCAGTCTGAACTTCTTCGAGAGACTGGAAATTAGGGAGCTGCGTACCATAGGTGAACTGTTGACGCACCAAATGTTTACCGATTGATCCCAAATCGGCCAGAACTCGTCAAGGCTTTCTTATCTGCGTGGGCCGCCCTGTGGCTGAGTTTATTTCCAAGGTGTGATGCCTGGCAGCCTCTGACTACCCTCTGCAGTTTCACAAGGTCTGTCTTCGGCCTCAGCCCCCCTGCAGGGGACAGGCCTTGTGATCTCTGGAGTAGCGTAAGCCTCAGTTTCCCCGAGGTGTCAGGCAGCTGCCTAAGCAGGCAGACAGTATAGGGACGGGGGCAGAGAGGGAGGCCACCAGCCACAGGGCAGCCCCCGGAAGGTGGCCTGAATAAGCAGGTACTGGCCAGAGAAAGAGGCAATTCACAGTCCCTGCCACTGTCCCACAGCCACTGTCCCACATTCCCTGGGCTGGCGAGGGTGGGAGAGGGGGAGGGGAGGAAGCGAACACGTCAGGAGAGCTTGCTCGGGGCCACTTTGCACAAGTCACGTGCCTTCAAGTACCCTACAAGGGAGGCATTGTTATTCCCATTTCAGGGAACAGGAAACTGAGGCCCAAAGCGGTGGAGGGAGCCAGCCAAGGCCCTTCGGTGACGAGCTCCTTGATTCACCGTGGCCTCCCTCGAGTTTGTGATGGGGCGCCTGCGGAGTTGGGCTTAAACCCGGCGCTTCTGGCTCCAGAGCCATTTTTCCGTCTTGGGTGAACAGTCTCCTGTTGCTTTGGAATAAGCCTCCACCCATTTAAATTGTTATTTATTTATTCTTATGAATAGGGAATTCATTCACAGGGTACAAAATTCCAGAGGCACAGAAGCGTATACAGTAAAACTCCCTCCCACCCGTGTCTCTGGCCACCCGGTTTTCCTTCCTGGAGCCAAACACCGTTTCTAGTTTCTCTCACGGCTTTTCTGAGGTATTCTGTGTGTGCACAAACAATGCGTATGTATGCTCTCCCCCACTTAGGTTTTTGTTTTTGTTTTTGTTTTTTAACATAAATTCAATGCATGTTTTAAAGTCTCCTTTGCATCTAGGAGGCGCAGTGCCTAGGACCCCTGGTACTTTCAGGGACCCAGGAAAACGTTTTCATTCCTTTGAAAATCAGAAGGAAAAACTGTACTTTTAAGTAGAAGAAAATGTTTTAATATATATGTTTTTAAAGATTTTATTTGAGAGAGAGAGAGCATGAGCCGGGGGTGGGGTGGGGCGAGGGAGACGGAGAAGCAGGCTCCTTGCTGAGCAGGGAGCCCGACAGGGAGCCCAACACCCCAGGACCCTGACACCCCAGGACCCTGAGATCATGACCTGAGCCGAAGGCAGATGCTTAACTGACTGAGCCACGCAGGTGCCCCTAATATATAATATTACTATTTTTATTTATTTTTAAGTAATCTTAAAATATGTATGACCCCGTGATCAAGAGTTGCACGCTCCACCAACTGAGCCAGCCAGGCACCCCAGTGTTTTTGTCTTTATACCAATGCAATCATCAAATGTTAATTTATATATATAATATTTATGGCAGAGAGACCCCAAAGGCCAAAGTACCTAGGGCACACAGAAGTCACATGTGGCCCTGCCTATAGCCAGGCTGCAAGAGAGCCCAGTGGAGCCACATTGACTCCATCCTTGGGCACTGAGGCCCTGAGTCTGTGGCAAACACCTTTTATGGTCACAGAACCCTAAGACTTCATTGGCAGTTACCATGATGTCCCCTCCATAGCACACACAGAGACACACAGACACAAAGGCAGGTGCTCATCCAGCTCTGCTTATTTACCTCTACTGATGGGGATCTCACCATCTCCCAAGGCCACCCCCTGGCTCCTGTCAGCCAGATTCATTACTAGAATTGGTGCCAAAACTGACCTTTCAGACATTTGGCCCCCTGGTCCTGGGTCCATGCTTTATCACACGCCGGGCATCCGTTCACTGACCAGCTATTACGTGCCCAGTCTCGGCCAGGTGCTCCGCTAGGCCGTGGGGATGCTAAGATGAGGAAGGCAGGGCCCCGGCCCTCAAGTTGCTCGGTCTTTTTTTTTTTTTTTTTAAAGATTTTATTTATTTATTTGACAGAGAGAGGCACAGCGAGAGAGGGAACACAAGTAGGGGGAGTGGGAGAGGGAGAAGCAGGCTTCCCGCTGAGCAGGGAGCCCGATGCGGGGCTCGATCCCAGGATCCTGGGATCACGACCCGAGCCGAAGGCAGACGTTTAACGACTGAACCACGCAGGCGCCCCAAGTTGCTCGGTCTTGTGGGAAAGGCAGGCAGACCCCTGGTTAGGACGCACACTGTTAAGCAGAGAGATGCTGTGCAAGCTGTCTTGCTCGCTGGCTCCTCCGCTTCAGAGCTCTGGGGCCTCTCTAGGCCTCCATTCCCTCATCTGGAAAGCAGGGGACTAGCAACACAGACCTCCGGTCTCTGAGGGAGTGCTGTGACAGGGAGCGGAGTTACAGCAGGCAAAGCACTTAGAGCAGTGCTCAGTAAAGCTCGGCATGGTCATTACTACTGTATGCACACAGAGGCTGTGGGAGCAGAGAGGAGCGAGCCTTCTCTGGAAAGATCAAGGAGGGCTTCCCAGAGAAGGTGAGGTTTGAGCTTAGACTTTAAGATCGAGTAGGAGGAGGGGCGTCTGGGTGGCTCAGTCGGTTAAGCGTCTCCCTTCGGCTCGGGTCATGATCCCAGGGTCCTGGGATCGAGCCCCACGTCGGGCAAGGAGCCTGCTTCTCCCTCTCCCTCTGCTGCTCCCCCTGCTTGTGTTCTCTCTCCCGCTCTCTCTTTCTCAGATAAAAAATAAAATCTTAAAACAAAAACATTTATTAAAAAAAAAAGATCAAGTAGGAGGAATTCCTTGGGCTATAAGGCAGAGATGGGGTGCTCCAGGCTGAGGGAGGGTATACAGAGACGCAGAGGAGGGAACGGTGGAGGTTAGTGAGGACTGAGGAGTACAGTTGATTCAGAAAGCTCTTTGTCTCTGGGGCCTCGGAAGCCTGGAACTTAGGGCTTCTCAGTCCCTTAGGGCTTTGTTGGGGAGGGGAGGAGGGCTGTAGCTGGCTGGTGCTGCGGCACCAATGAGTTAGAGAATGTTCTGTTGTTTAACGTGTGGCTTCTTCCAGGAGAAGCCTGGTGGCCACCTGAGCAGGAGAGACAGAGGCGGGAGGCAGAGCCCCTGGGAGACCCCTAAGCCGCAGCTCCGGGGTAGTTCAAATAACCCAGGGGCAGGAGTTAGCCTATTTGGTTCTAGTTCCAGCTCTGCCTTAACCCTTTCTGAGACCCTAAGCTAGTCCTTGGCTCTCTCTGAGACTCAGTCTCCCCATCTGTTCAATGGTTCAGACTCAGGCCAGACAGGCTGTAGCTGAGGAGGGTCCTGGGACCTCTGAGCTCTATTCATCAGTCCCACTCTGAGCAGGCCTGTGAAGCCAGGAGTCCTGCCCCCTCCACGCCCTCCCTGCACCTCCCAGCAGCTAGGTCATGGGCACCGCTTCCCTGGGTGGGCAGTCCCAGGGAGGCGGGTCCGAGGAGGCTGTGACTCAAGCCCCTCCCCCCACAAACAAACACAGCCTGAGTGTGGCCCTGGGGTTGGGAGGAACAGAGGAGGCCTGTCCTCTGGGCGAGGGGGCCTCTGGGCAGCAGCTTCCTGTGCGGTTCCAGGCTGGGGGCCCAGCCCACCTCCTGACAGAGGAGCCTTTCATGGGCCTGGGCTCTTGGGATGGGGGGATGGCAGGGCATGGAGGCCACTCAGGTGAGGGCTGCCCGAGAATCTGCGTGTGGCAGAGCAGTGGGGTTGTGCCTTGGTTTCAGACCAGGCCTTGGAAACCGCTGGTCCCGCCACCTCCCATTTTGCAAATGAGGAAACTGAGGTCCAGAGGAGGGGGGAGATGCCTGAGCCCACCAAGGGCAGAGGCAGAACTAGAACCCAGGGCTCCTGCCTCCCAGCCCACCATGGGTGAGGGGCAGGTGTGAAGCTTGTTTGTGTCAGTGTTCCATGTGTGGTTGTACGTGTGCGTGGGTGTTCATTAACATATGAAGCACAGATGATGGATTTACACATTGTGAATTCGGGAGTATTGGTGTGGGGAGTTGGGGGGACGTCAAGGGAGCCAGGTGGGGCGAGGGGCAGCTATCTCAGACCTCATATGTGTGGGACCCCTCCTGTACCTCCTTAGGACCCACCCTGGGGCAACGCTACCCAATGCCACCTTCTGCCTCATCCCTGGCCACCGTCCTGATGCTTTGCACTTCCTCCAAGCCCTGCAGGTACAACCCCAACCTAGGCATCCCCTGGCCCTGTCCCCCCACACTCCTGAGCTGCCAGGCTCTCTGGGCCCAGGCCAATGGGAAGGGACAGTGAGCTGCCCACACCCACGCTCACCACACCCTCTGTAGAACAACCCACTGCCCAAAAAACCACCTTTCTCTCCTCTTTCTCCCTTGCCCCCAACGGAAGCAGCTGCTAATTTGGAACTGGGGGAGGGGAAGTGTGTGTAGGATAAGACTGGGCTCCCCAGTGCCTCCCCTTTCCCCCCAGGCTGGCTGCATCCCTGTGCTTCTCAGCCCTCGGTGGGAGCTGCCCTTCTCCGAGGTCATCGATTGGACCAAGGCGGCCATCGTAGCTGACGAGAGGCTCCCATTTCAGGTAGCTCAGGGTGCTGCCCACAGGGTGGGACTGGACCCAGGACATGGGAGGAGCCCGGGATCTCAGCCCCCAGGCTGATCTCAGTCCTCATTCCTATTCCCCATATGTGTATATTCATGATTTTGCTCCAAGCCCCAAGCCTCTGGGGCTCCCATAGGATCATAGAGAGGCAGAGACTCCTGAGGGTTCTGAGAGCAAGTCCTGAGCCTTTTCCAGCCTCAGTTTCCCCATCTCTACAATGGGATAAGTTAGACCGGATGATCTCCATGGGCCCAGCCCATGACTCTACCAATTTAAGGGAAAGCCGCAAAAAATCCAAAATCTGAGTGCCTCCATGGAGGCTGGGGTAGGCAAGCAAAATGCAGTGACTTTTCCAGCTGATGAAACTGGTTTTGCCTGACTATGAAAACCCTGCATAAGCCTTGAATCCCCTGAGAAGTGAGAATGGTATGGTAGTTAATAATAATAGCTACCAGCCACTGAGCCTCTACCATATGCTAAGCACTTAATGTATATTATCTAATGTATTGTTTATTTTTAAGATCTTTTTATTTATCTGAGAGAGAGAGAGTGTGTGTGCACAAGCAGGGGGAGGGGGAGGGGCAGAGGCAGAGGGAGAAGCAGACTCCCAGCTGAGCAGGGAGCCCGAGGCAGGACTCGATCCCAGGACCTCAGGATCATGACCTTGAGCCAAAGGCAAACCACTTAACCGACTGAGCCCCCCAGGTGCCACTGTATTAATCTAATTTCATCCCCACAGCCACCCTATGAGGCAGATACTATTATTATCCCCATTTTACAGATGAGGACACAGACTCAGAGAGGTTCAGTAGTTTGTCCATAGTCACACAGTTACGAAGTGGCATTTAGGCCCAGCTCTGTGTGATCCTTGAACTCTTGATTGTTACCTGGGACTTGGCCAAAGGTGGCTGCTCTAACCCACTTGGAAAACCGTGCGGAGAAGGCTTCTGGTTCCCAGACCGCCAACCTGGGTGGTCCCACCTCAGAGTCAGTCAGAGCCTGATAAGGCGCCATGCCTTCTCCTTTCCTCCCTCTGTGCCTCAGGTCCTTGCTGCCCTCCAGGAGATGCCCCCCTCGCGGGTCCTTGCCCTGCGTCAGCAGACCCAGTTTCTATGGGATGCCTACTTCTCCTCAGTGGAGAAAGTCATCCATACCACTCTGGAGGTGAGGGGGACTTCCATGATGGGGGCCATGGGGCTTGGCTCCGGCCTCATCCCTGTTCCCTCTCCACACCCCTCTCTCTGGACACCTCTTCTACCCCGCTGTTTGGACTTCCCCCTTGAAGAGGCTTCTGGGATGAATCTGAGACTTGGCTCTGAGCTCTTGGACAAGTTCCTTCTCCAGTCTTGGCCTCAGTTTCCCCATCTGTAGAGGGACAGCTCTGGCCAACAGATTTCAAAGCAAGTGCCAAGATGTCAGCCCGGGTGATGGGCAGCGGCTGCCTGGGGTGCTGTGTTAAAGGGGATTCTGGGCCCGGAAAGAATGTTGTGACTTGTTGGCAACGTCTGCCATGAGTGAGGAAGGAAAGGGAGGCAGCAAACTCACCATCATGAGCCATCTCTGGACACCATCACTGAGTGCCCCCTACTCTGGACTTCTGCACCTGAACCCTTTGGACAGTGACACAGCTGCTGCCCTCCCAGGAGCCTGAAGGGGGGCTGCGGGGGGCTGGGTGCTAGGCCAGGTCCGCACTTCCCCAGACCCTGCCCACGACCACACCGTCCACTCCCTCAGCACAGCCCTCTCTCATTTCACAGATTATTCAGGACCGGATCTTTGGAGCATCTGCTCACCCCTCGCTACTGTGGAACAGCCCCCCAGGCGCCCTCCTGGCCCTGCCCACTTTTTCCACAAGCCCCTTGGACTTCCCCTTCTACCACCTACAACGGGGTATGCCCTGGGGATGGGACAATTTGAAGTCCCCTCACCAGCTCTTCTCAAGTCTGTCCCAGCCTCAACCATAGAGCCCTGCCAAGCCCTTCCCTGATTCTCCCACATCTCTCCTGGCTCCTGGAGGCCCCGGCTCAGGCCACTCTTCAGCAGGTTCTGTCTCCTCCCACCCTAACAGCCTGTGTCTCATTCCCCTCAGGCTCTCGGCCTGTGGGCAGGTTCAGCGCCCTGATCTGGGTGGGGGCCCCAGGCCAGCCCCCCCTGAAGCTCATCCAGGCGGTGGCAGGCTCCCAGCACTGTGCCCAGGTCTGTTCCCCTTGCCAGCTGGGGTCCTGGGATCCAGGGTGGGGGCAAGGGAAAGGGCAGGGCTCTTGAAGACGTCTAGACCCCAAGCGTAACCACACGTTCCAGGGGGGAGGCACGGGAGGGGTTTTCAAGTGCCACCAGTGCCCTCCTCTTTAAGTCCCAACATTCTTGTTCCTTTCCTCCCCAACCCCTCCCTCCCTCATGGAAACTGATGAAATCATGTAAAAAGCAGGTACCCCCCTGGGGGGGCTGGAGAGGTAAACAGACGTGCGTTCACGCGTGTGCTCACCCATCAGTCATTTTCTCAGTGCCAGGCCGTGGGCTTGATGCTGATGCAGAGAAAAAGCAGGAAAGGATTCAGCCCCAGGTTCCCATCCAGTTAGCATTTCCTGGTACACGCTGTCAAATCTCACTTCCAGAGAAGGCACGTAGACTCTTGAGAGAACTCACAGGGGAGGGAAGCTTGGCCGGGGACAGACAGAGCAGCTCCACAGATGGGACATCCAAGCTGGGCAGCGAATGATGAAGGAGCAGAAGAGAATGAAAGCCTTTGAGAGAAGATGGGCACGGGGCGAGGGGCCAGGGCCCAGGCGAGGGGCTACCACCACTGACTCCCTCCAGTTCTAAATGGTATGGGTAGCTTCCTTCGCGACACCGGAATTCCTGCCTTCCTGAAGCCCGGAGGCAAAAACAGGGCAGCGAGGAAAGGACCCTGGCTCCAACTAAACTCTCCCGAACTCACAAATACAGTTGCTCTCCCAGACTTCAGGAACACCCCCTTTTCCTCCTAGATCTTGGTTCTCTGGAGCAGTGAGAAGCCACCCCCACCCAGGTGGCCCAAGACGACAGTGCCCTTGACAGTCCTGGAGGGGCAGAGGAAGGTGAGGAGTGGGGGGTGGGGGGGCTCACGGGAGGGAGGGCTCCAGCCCCTGCCTGCAGGGAACCCAGGAGGGCACACACAAGGTGCTTTGCTCGAGCCTGAGCCTGAGCCAGATCTGGATTTCCAGTCAGGCCTGAAGCTGGTCAGGAAGTCCCTCCGCCCCCGTCACTCAAGGATGTCCCCGGGCGGACTGCTTGCGCCGTGTGGGTGTGGCAGAGCTTCCTGGAGTGGATGGTGGGCTGTCTGACGTGGGTCTCAGCCGCGGGCCCGACAGAGATGATCCTCTTCCATCCCTGGCCCTTGTGGATTGTGCTTCCAGAGAACTGGGGTTTTGTGTGATGAGGGAAGGCAGAGGGCGTATGTGGGCTGCCTTGGATGAGCCAGAGGAGAAACGTGGGATCTTGAGGAAATGAGAACAGATTGCAGCACATGGAGCCGGAGGAGGGTGGCTTCTGAGAAGCCGGGATGGTGGGAACCACCTGCGTGCTGTGTGGCTCTGGGCAAGTCCCTTCATCTCTCTGGACCTGTTTCTTTCAAAGGGAGGATGTCTGACAGCCCCTCCCAGGGTTGAGGTGAGCAGGTAATGTGACAAGAGGAATCCAGAGGCGTTGAAACTAGAAGGACCCCTAGATACCCTCTGCCCGTTTTACCAAAGGGGAAATGGGAGTGCGGAGAGTCACAGTGAGCTCCGGGTCCCAGTTCCAGGCAGCCTGGCTGTTGTCACCGGCCTGCCTTCTACACCCGTGCGCGGGGGCTCCTGCTTCGAGGCTACTTAGTCACTGTTCCCACGGCTGAGTTGGCGTCACCCCCCTCCCACTACAGGTCAGTGACCGCTTCTTCCCGCACAGAGCCATCAGCACTGATGCCGTCCTCAGCCTCGACGCCCAGAGCAGTCTTACCACAAGTGAGGTGAGGACGGGGCCCAAGAGGAGCCCGGGGCGGGGGGGGCAGAGCCAGAGGGGTCGGGGGCAGCCCCTCAGATTCCCAGAGCAGAGAGGAGCAGAGGACCAGCGCAGAGGTGCAGCCCCTGCTTTCGAAACCACCCCTGCGAGCCAATCAGCCTCCTCCTTAGCAATCTGGTAGAACCTTCCAGCAGACTCCTGAAAACAGTTTTCAGCTCCCAGCTGAAAAAGCATTGTTTCTAGCTCCCAGGTGGGACCCTACCCCCACCCCAGCACTCCTGGAAACTTTCACGCGCCCATCTCCTCTCCCCGGAGTCCCCGCGGCCAGGCAAGCCTTGCCTCCGTATCTCTGGATGTCCCCAGCTGGTCGGGACGTCCCTCCTCATACCTCACTTAAATATCTCCCCAGGTGGACTTCGCTTTTGTGGTGTGGCAGAACTTCCCTGAGCGGATGGTGGGCTTCCTGACATGGAGCCACTTCTGGGACGAGGCCCGGGGTGGCTGGGGCTACACTGCCGAGAGGGCCAACGAGTTCTCCGTGGTTCTCACATCAGCTGCCTTGTACCACAGGTACAGAGGGCCGGCCTGGCACTGGGAGCAGAGGGTCAGAGACTCCTCCTTTGAACCATGAGCAGGGTGGTGTGGGAGCGAACACAGCAGTCCACCTAGAACCCCCAGAGATCCAGGGTCCAGGCCCAGATCTGCCACATCCCAGTTGTGTGATGGGCAAGTCTTTTCTTGTGAGGCTCAGTTTCCTTATCTGGAGAATGTTTTCACTTCCCAGGGCTGACATGATAATCAGATGAGAAAACCACACAGATGGTTAACAAATGGTAGCTAGTGTTATTTTAAATAGAGCTAGGTAGAGGGTAGGGATTTGGATTTGGTGATGGTGGAGACAAGAGAATGGCCCTAAAGCTTTATAAATGTGTGTGTGATGGGCTGGGGACTGTCCCAGGCCTTTCAGAAGTTGACGGAAGCACTCGTCTTTGGGGTAGGGACTGAATTTTGGAAGGCCCCTTTAGAGGGGTTCCTTAGACATACTTAAACCAAATATGTGTAACCTGGAACCTCTAGCAGGTTTACCCAGGAGCTCTGCGGGGGATTCTCAGCAGAGTGAAGAATGCCCCTAAGGTCTGCAGGGTGCACCTAGGTTGTTCTATAGGAGGGCTGCATGAAACAAGGCTCACCTGGAGCATCATCGTCTGGTTAATCCACAGCCTTCCTGAAGCCGGTCTCTGGGGCTGCCATGTTTAATGGCCTTGGAACCAGCTGATCCCCCACCTCATTCTGGCTGAGGTCAGACCTCAGAGCCCAGGGGTGGGGCCCCCAGGGAGCTGTAAGGGAGGGGGCAGGGAGGACACCATTTGCTACAGACGACCCACAGAGCACCGAACAGTAGAGAGGTTTCTATTTCTGGTGTGAGCTCTCTGAGGCGGCCTGGGCTGAGAGAGGGAGCAGGGGTTTCTAAAGAGGCATGGGGATTGAAGTCAAAGGGAGAGTGAGGTCAGGAGGGAGGAGAATGGGGCCTGGCAGGGAGGGGTGGTGGGTGAATTTGGCTGCTGTCATCCCACCTTGCCCAGGTATTACCACACCCTCTTCACCCACGCCCTGCCCAAGGCTCTGAGAGCCCTGGCAGATGAAGCACCCACCTGTGTGGACATCCTCATGAACTTCCTAGTAGCAGCAGTCACCAAGCTGCCCCCTCTCAAGGTGCCCTACGGGAAGCAGCATCTGGAGGCCAGACCTCCACTGGTGAGGATCCAGGGGGGCAGGTCGGCACTGGGAGGGCGCTGCTGGGGAAGGGATTCCCTCTGTCTAACCCCAATCCTGTTTTGTTGCAGGGTTCGGGGGCATGGGGGTGGGTTCAGAAGGACAGAGACCTCCAACTGTTTCTCCTCCCCCTTAGGCGCCTGGGGGCCCCGAGTCGCAGCTGCCAGCCCAGGACTGCATCAATCGGATGGCCGCGGAGTTCGGCTACATGCCCCTGGTTTCCTCTCGCCTCCGTCTGGACCCAGTACTCTTCAAGGACCCCGTGTCCGTGCTGCGCAAGAAGTATCGCAGCCTGGAGAAGCCCTAGGAAGGACCAACAGAGCCCCAGCCCTGCTCCCAGGGGGCACTGCACCTGCGGGGGAGGGGGGGGGTCATCCCCCTCCCTTGGGACATCTGGAGAGCCAATCAAGGCTGACAGCCAACACGTCAGATCCCTATTAGCCAACCAGCCCAACGCCCCGAACTGCGGGGCCTCGCCCCACCCTCCAGTCCCACGGCTAGTGGCGGGTCACGGGTGCCAGGTGCTTGCTCTGCGACTGTGCCCTCACCCATCGCTGATACTTTGCCTGGAATGCCTTTCTCGGCTTCTCTGCGGGAGCTGAGTTCTACCTGTCTTTCAGATCTCCGCCTCCTCCACGGACTTGCCTGACCCCCATCCCCGACCCAGGTCCTCTGCGCTTTCACATCTGGGTGTTTCCCACACTGTTCATGCTGCTTTGCGAGGTACAGGACCAGCCAGGAAGCGCCGGGAGGGCAGGGCCATGTCCTCTTCTCTCTGGCCTGGCAGGTGCTTCACAAGTATTTGACGGATAGAAGACATCAACTGCGTGCCTGGCCCTGTGCGGTAGTCGGGATTGTGGACAGTGTGCCACGTGAGACAAAACTCCGCCCCCCACCCCCGGTTCCTAGTCCGGCGGTAAAACAGCTACCCGCAGACGCCTGGGTTGCCAGGCGCGATCTTCGCACAAAGAGAGGTTGAGAAGCCAGTTTCGGGGCTTCCTGCCCGATCTGGCAGAGCAGGGGCCGGGGGAGAAAGAGGATGAGAACGCCAGGGGCCCGTGCCGGCCCAGCTCAGCGCTCTGCATTACCAGCCACGACCACTAGAGGTCAGCGCCGTACCGCGCTCCCTCTTCCCGGAAAGGGAATGGCGTTGTAAGCGACCCCTTCGGTCCCGGGTAAGGGGATGTGGAGTGCTGGTGGGCTGAAGCCCGAGGTCTAAAAACGGGGGGGAAGAATTTGAAAGAACAGCCCCACTCCTTTAGTCCACATAGTCAGGACTAAGAAGCCATTTCTAGATGGCTGGGTGGGAGATGGGGCTGTCGGGAGCACCCTGGCCATGGCAGTGGAGTGGGGGAAGGGCTGCTGGGTTCTCCAGGGTTCATCCACCTGTAACTGGAATTATCACTTCCGAAATAAAGTGCGTGTCCTTGCCCCCTCATGCTCGGGCTATAAATACCCCTACAGCAGCTGCGCAGGGGGAATGGGGTGACCCTAGAGAGGTGGGGGTGATGGGTCCAGCTCAGGTCCAGGGTGTCAGGTGTTTTCCTGCTTTGATGGCCTCGCCACTTTGGAAACTCTCGTGACTAGCTCACCCTGGCCGGCCGGAACATGCTGTCCCCCAGGGCTTCTCCAAGGCCTCCCGCCCCATCCTCCAGCTTGACCTCTGGCCCCTGGATGACTCAGGTCCTCCCTGGAACCAGTCACAGCTGGGGTGCAGAGAGGGCTTTCCCTTGGGAGGCATGGGGCTGCTAGATTATTGAGGTGGAGGGGGGCCTGGGAGTTTAAGAGGAGGGAAGGCATTCTGGCCCAGGATCAAGAACAGTTGAAGGTGGGTGAGGAAGCACACAGCTGTGGCCCAGGCAGCCTTCCCAGGGTAGGGAGGGTTCTAAGTGCCAGGCCCAGCCAAGAGAAAGAGGCACTCTTCCCCTTCACTTCGGCACCCAGACACTGAACTGTCTAGGCATGGCCTTACCAATGGAGGGCACTGCCAGGCCCAAGGGCTCACACTGTACCAACATGTAGCCCAGAAGGTTTTCAGCTCCTGCTGTAGAGGGAGGCCTGGGTGACTGAGGCAGAAACCCCAGACCTTCACAGTGGCTATGTGACTTCATAGACTCAACCTCTCTGAGCTTTGGTTTTCTCATCTGTGAAAGCAGAGTCTCTTGAGAGGGGTGTAAGGACTTGGATCCAGGATCCTGGGGCCTGGAGGGGAGAAGGGGTTTGATTCCCCAGAGAGTGAAGTGGAGTAGAACACAGCCACCAGCAGTCCCCCACCTCAGACTTCCAGGCCACATGACTTCCGGCAGATTTTGAGGGGCTGAAGAACCCACTGACCTAGATCACAGGTAAGCCTGGATGACAATGCTTGAACGGCATGAAGAGGTTATTCCATAGATGGGAAGAAAGTAGTTCACAGGGGAAGGCGAGTGACCAACCCTTCCTCAGAGTCCTGCCACGAAATCAGGGCAGAGTCAAGACAAAGTCAGTGCTGCCCCTGGGAGGGGGGGGCTCTTTGGCAAGGTGGCCTCAGGGGGCATCTTTCCAGCATGATGATCAAAGTACGCATTCTTAAAGCAACACTAGGTGCTTAACAAACTTTGCCTCCAGTCCTCAAAACAACCCTGTGAGGTAGGTTCATTCTTAGTCTCTCCTTCTCTGATGAGACCTAAGGGCCACCTAATGAGTGGGGGCGCTGCCTTCTCTGTGAGACCAGGGATAAGTGTCCCCTCTGCATCTTGTAAACACAAGCTGCCCCTAATTCGGGAATCTACATACACCTCAGGAAGCCAATGTCTCCCATCTGTTGTACAACCAACCCCTCTTTGTCTTCCATCCTCAAGTTCTGAGGTCAGGCCACACCAGCCACAGCGCTGGCCCAATCACATCGGATGGCAGGCTCTGAGATCCCTGAGACTCTATCAGGACAAGAGAAGGGGGCAGGGGCTGTGGGGCCATGAGGGCAGGACCCATGCTGAAAGCCCTGCCCCCACCACCACCATCTGGGGCAAGGGAATCATTGTGTTGGCACAGGGTTCCTGCGCTGGGGGAATAAGGAAAGAAGAAACCAGCCAGGTCCTGACGCAGTCAGAAGCCTCCTCCCTCCAGGAAAGGGAAACGTGGCTCAGAACTGAAGTGACTAAGGCACGGGCAGGCCTCAGAGGCCTGCTGGTTTCCCACCTCAGAGGGACAGGTCGGGGAGTGCAGGGTCCTCACAACCCCCAACCCCCCCTTACACCATATTGTTAGAGGCAGAGGGAGAAGGACTTCTTCACAGATTCATAAGGCAAAGGCCAGACTGAAATGAGGAAGAAGGTAGGTGGGAAAGGGGACGTTGGAGCCGGTCTCCCCTCTGTCAGCCCTCACTGTGCCTCCCTGCCTTTCTGGAGGCTGGTGGTAGGAAGGCATTAGCTGAGGATTAGACCCAAACCCAGCCCCGCCAGGCACCAACCCAGAAGCTGGAGGAGCAGGGTCATACTAGCTTTACACTTGCCATGTCTCCATCCTTAAACTGGCTATCTAGTCAGATGGGGGAGGCAGGGGACAGTTCCTTCACCACTCAACACAGAGCAGAGGTCAGGAGAGGGACCCGCTTTATGACACAGCCAGGGAGCCCGAGTCCTGGCTGGGCCTGGCGGACACTCAGCCCCACCAGCGGCAGGTCCGGTCCATGCCTCAGTTGACACCTGGCCAGGCAGTCAGTCGGAGGGGCCTTGGCACGCCTGACAGTCCTTCATGTCCTCAGAGTAGTCTTCGATCTGGATGGTCATGGTGTGGAAGTGGAACTTGCCCTGCAGGCGGGTGCTGGCTGCCTTCAGCACAGCCTGGCCATCTGCATTCTGAGCTAGGGGCCGAGAGGACACACCAGGAGAGGCACCAGACAACGATTTACTCACTCGGGCCCTGAGGAAGGATCGGGAGCCCAGCTCATTCCCTACCCCCCAGCACGACAGGGTACGGGCATCAGGAAGGCCCCCCACCCCGATCCCACCCCTGCACTGGGCCACCTTCGGGTTCCCATACTTGGCACGATCCCGGAGAGCAGGGGCAGCCGTGGCTTTAAGGCTGGGAATCTATGCGCTGCCACCTAGGCGCTGGCAAAGCCTGGGCAAGTGACGTGACCGCCCCACCCCAGTCCCAGCCTCAGTTTCTTCATCTATAAATGGGATTGTGATGACCAAATGAACTAAGGTCTCTAAAGTGCTCAGCGTGGGGCCAGGTTCAAAGCAGCGGCGCTGCAGACGTGTGAGGTCATCGGGTGCTTCGGGGCTGGCCCCAGGCCTCCGGCGGTCTCTGTCCCTCACCCCGCCCTGAGGACCCTGGCCACTCACCGATGGCGATGTGGACCGACAGCACGGGCTGGGCCACAGTCAAGGCCCAGATGTGCAGGCTGTGCAAGGCTTCCACGCCTTCCACCGACAGCAGCAGATCCCGAACGGCTGTGAAGTCCACACCCTTGGGGGTCCCTGAGGGGCACGGGGACAGGGGCTTAAGGAGCCTGCTCCCTCCCGCCCCTGCCGGTTCCTGCTGTTCAAATGCTGCCTCCTCACAGAAGAGCGCCCTGGCCAGCAGATCTGATGCTGCCCCACCCCCCAAATGATCTCCATCATATCGCCCTTTTGTGTTTTCCTCCTCACGCCTGACACTGTCTGAAATGACCCCGTCAGTCTCTTGCCCGTGTCCCCTTCTAAAACGGAAATTCCACAAGCGCGGGACAGTCTCCTTTGTTGACCACCGTATCCTCAGTGCCTAGAACAGTGCCTGGTCCAGAGCAGGTGCCCAGTGACTATTCTTTGGAAGGGAAGAAGGGAACCTGGGGACCCCTGCACCCACATGGGGCATCAACATCGTCACTTGTATCCGGGTTGGTCACACTCCTGGGGAAAATGCTCCCACCTGCAGCCACACACTCCCGCTGACTCCAAATCAGCACCCAACTGCAGACTGACCCTGGCCGCACAGAGCCCCATGACCCCGCCACCCTGGGCCACAAGGAAGCTGGTGAACGTGGTAACTCAGGGCGGACCATTTGCCAGCACTGAGGAAGCCCCCGGAGCCGAGCCACATGCTCCCCGAGGCGGAGGCCTCAGAAAGGAAGGCACTGAGCTGGAGGGCATTTGGGAGGCTTGTCCAACACCCACCATCTTGTTTTCTGAGCCTCAGTCTGCTTCCTGTGCCACAGGAAGCAGAATCCTGTCCCTCTCTCTGCCCCAGCAAAGGCAGATGGAGACTGAGGAGGTATATGGGGGAGGGGTGGAGCATCCCGTGCTACAGACACCCCCTAGAAGCTACCTGACTAGGCAGGGAGGACACACCCCGGCAGGGAGGGGACACCATGCGGCTAGAGGGAAGGGAAGGTTCGGTCCAGGGGACATTTCTAGGAACAGCCACACCTGAGGGCTCAGCTCGATGCCAAGACCGGCCTGGGGCCCCAGGAGGTTTCCTAGCCTGTGCCAGGCTCCAAGACCATGGCTCCCTGCCAGTGTGCTGGGACTCCCCTGCCCCCCCCCCCACAAACTTGTTAGTGCTGGAGAGCCCAGAGCAAAAGGAGAGCCCCAAGCCCAGGTTACCTTCCATCAGCACTAGGATCACATCTCTCAGGATGGTCAAGGTTGTCCCCAAGACCAGGATGGAGAAGAGGAAGGTGCAGATGGGGTCTACATACTTGTACTCTGGCTACAGAAAAAGGGGAAGGCAGAGCTGCGGCTCACCACCCAACATCTCAGCCTCTCTCCCCCTGCCCACCCAGTGCTGAGTCGGGGAGAGGGGCTCTCTGCGGGGCGGGCACAAGCCTTCCCCTGGCTCTGTCTACCAGTTCTCTACCTTGGCTCCTGTGTCCACAAGAACAGGCAGGGCAGATCACAGCTCAGGATGAGGCACAGTCCCTTCCCACCCCTCCTTGCCCAAGGGACGGATGTGTGAACAAAACTAAAAGGAATCTTAGACACCAGTGGTCCAACATCTCATTTTATAGATGGAGAAACCGAGGATCAGTGCACGCAAAGGACTGTATATCACACGGGTAGCAAGGGGTGGAGCCAGGCTTGAACCCCAACACCTACTACACCACTCTGCCTCTATGTGATCTGCCCCAAGCAGTGGCAGCCCACAGGCCTGGGGGTTGGACTCTGGCTCCACGATATCCCTGGTGTGTGATACCATCCAGGTCACTGAACCTTTCTGAGCTGCAGAAAACACCACCAGCTGCTCTTCAGGATTGTTGTGAAGATCAGAGGTGCTGACACTTGGTGGGCATTGGGTAAAGGTTCCTTCCCTCTCCACACACAGCTGGGAGGGAGCTAGAACCTGGAAAGGGCCATGTGTAGAGAGGAGCCCCCAGATGATCTATACTCTCCCGCCCACACCCACCCCCGAGCCTACCTCCCTCTGTCCCCAGCTCTGACCTTGAAGTATAAGATATAGGCTGCCACCA